GGGACCGCATTTCCCAGAGGCGGCCCAGGGGAACCGCATTTCCCAGAGGCGACCCAGGGGAACCGCATTTCCCAGAGGCGACCCAGGGGAACCGCATTTCCCAGAGGCAGCCTTGGGGACCACATTTCCCAGAGGCAGCCTTGGGGACCGCATTTCCCAGAGGCAGCCTTGGGGACCGCATTTCCCAGAGGCACCTGGTGGGACGGCGTTTCCCTGACTCACCCTCTCCAGATCTTGCCGCAGGTGCGTGAAGAGCTTGAGGCGCCGGTAGAGCACGTCCTGCTCCTGCTGGGCCAGGTCGTCCACCTCGTCCTGCTTGAGGGCCAGCAGTGGCCGGTTGAACCCGGACCGGCGCCGCAGCTTCCAGTACTGGTAGAGGAAGTCGACATGGGTGTGCGACAGCCGCAGGCCTTCAGCCACGTCGGCCGGCTCCACCAGTCGGTAGAACTCGTCCTCTAGCTCCTGCAACTTGCGCTTGCGCTGGCCCGCTATCTCGGGCTCTGCCTGTTCGGCCCGGTCCGGCCGGCCACCCTGGATGGCGCTGTGCTCGGCACAGTATGACTTGAAGCGCACCTCGTCGTTCTCCGCCAGGATGGTGCGCATCTCCAGGCCGCAGTCGAAGGCGCATGTCACGTGGAAGGCCACAACGCAGGTGGGCATGGAGCACTGTGGCAGACAATCGCGGTAATTCATTAACTGGTTTGCAATGCAGTCAGTGATCGATAACCATCAATCCAATGCCAGACTGCTAATCCTGCCCAGGGTCAGTAGGGGGCGCTGTAGCCTATCCCATTGACCAAAAACATTGATTACACTAGGGGGTTTGATGTGACTTCATGTGTAGGACAAAAAAGCCAACCCCAGATACATGCCCCATTGTATAAAAACTATCCAGCATATACGCAAGTAAATTTACATTACATTAGCAGTTAAAAAACGTATGTATAAAAGTGTGTGTGTGTGTATTATATATATATATATATATATTATATAAATAAAACATACGTACAGTGTACATGTCAGCATATTACACTGGCACATATTTATCTATCTGGCAGACGCTTCTGTCCAAAGCGACAGAAAACAAAACAAGATGAAACAGAAGGAGCAGGCAGCTGACAAGGTGCCCCGTTACACGGATAAAACACCACGGCTTCTCAACCGGCGGCATCTTCAGACTATCCCGTTCTGTAAGTGCGCCCATCCCGCCCCTTATTTGAGATTCCCTTCCGCACTGTAACTGTAACATGCAGTGCTGTGCAGAAGTCTTAGGCAGCCTAAGGATGATGTTCAAATGACCTTCATGTTGGGTGTAAAACCATGACATCATGCCTGTCAAAGTGTGTCAGCTTAGTCTAACCTCTGCTAAAGTCACCACATTATTTCCGGCAACCCATGTATGACGCGACCACTATCACACTCATATAGCTAATCAATATCGCAATAACTTTTTGAACTAATTAAATCAATTAAGTGAGCTGGTGGTGAAATTGAATAAACACACGGAATGGCTGAGGTGCCCCTGAGGAGAGGTTTGGGAACGGAAGTTGTGTTCATCTAGCTGTCCAACAAGATATCAGTGACTTTTTGGAAAACAGAAGAGTTACTAGTTTATATTGTGTCACTCAATCTATATATGCACTAATGTTAAATAGTGTTTTTATTCTGAGCAAAAGTGCACTTACTACCCAGATAAAGTCTTAGGCAGCCACAAGTCATTTAAGTGTTGTATGTGATTCAATAACAGAAAAATAAAAATGTTTGCGAAGGGCCCCATTGACCCCCCACGGCCCCCCCACCCCCATTTCTGCACTCCCTATCGCTCCACCAGTGGATGTACTACACTGACAGCCAGAAGCAGGGCTGTAAAACCAGAAAAACACGGATAAAATGACTCTTAAGTGTGAGCATTCAGAAGATCACATCTGATTAGACACTGAGACAGAGAGAGACGCTTTTATCGACAGCTGGGACTGACCATTTAACGATCGGGCTAAATTTATCTGTCAGACACGTTCTCCTGCTGGCCATCTGACTGTCCTGAGAGGCGGTACGGCAAGTGGCTCGCGGCCCACGCACATCCCCCCCCCACCCCGCGGTGACTCACAGCTATGCTTTTTTTGTTGATGTTAATTTAAACTCCCTTAAGCTGTAATTGGTGACTGTTGGCTTTGCTTCAGGTGGGATGGTGAACGGATGGAAGGGGGGAGAAGAGGGAGTAGGGGGCAGATTAACGAGAGTGGTGGGGGAGGGGGGGCGGAAAACAAAAAGAGGTGAGTAAGTGAAAAAAGAAATACAGACGTCGGTTTATAGGAAGTGTCATCGCCATCTGCAGAGTTAGGCGTTAGGGACCTGGGGCGTTTACAGGGGGTCCTGCCATGAAATCCATGAAGCCCCCCCCCCCCCCGGCCCCCTGCCCTGAAGGATTCACACCCCCACTCAGACTGACACATTGCACTGATTTCCCCAGTGACTAATATATCCATCCACAGGGTGTCTTAAAGACCCTCTGAAATAAACAAGATCTGTTCTGTTGTTGACGCTCTCTCTCAGCCAATCAGAAGCCTCTTTCTTCCGTGTCGAAGATGTCACCGGGGCTTCGGGGCAGATCGGATATCGCCGGTTTAACTACAGCGGCGGTTTCCCTCATTACCCCGGGGATCTATGAATCACCACGCTGGACGGAGGCTCGCACTCTGGCGAGCGTCGGAGACGGTCCCGACCGCTCGTTAAAACCCCCGCGCTTCTGCTTGCACAAGGTTTCTGGTCTGCTGGCCTGTCTGTTACGGGAGCGTCGGGACCGAACAGAGAAACAGAGGATAGAAAGACTGCATGGGTGACGGCTGGTTAAATGGCAGGCTCTGGATTGGCCGACGCTGGCAGCCACAGAGGGGAGAAGCGACGCCCACCAAATCCTGCCACACCACGGCAGGAAGAAATGTCGCCATGGATATTTCAGCACTCTGCTCTGACTCAGCCTCAGCCTCGGCTGCAGACGGCAGAGCCTGACTCCCCCGATGGCTGGGAGGAACAGGCACTGGTGAAAAACACCCGGTGGTTTTTTGGTTTTGTCATATATTTACTGAGCTGATGAGTTTAATGCGGTTAACATTTTGGTTGCCAGATCAATGTGATTACTGGTTACTGCTGCATGTAGTGGATCAAAACAGCAGTGTCCTCCCAGCTGACAGTTTTAAGTCAAACCAGAGCAGCTGGGAGCACTGAGAGGGCGGGCCTACCTGTATGCAGGTGCCGGTGTGCTCTCGGCACAGGCTGCAGGACAGCGCCCAGCGGCTCTGGGGGATGTGGGACACCTTGGTGATGGGCTCCATCTTTTCGGGGCAGCCGATGCTGACCTGCAATGGAGCACAGGCCACGTGACTGAGGCGTTCGTGTCGCGGGGCCAGAGCTAACCCCCGTAGAAAGACTCGAAACTCAAAAACACAGAAGAACATTACACTTCCGCTTCTCTCTGTTCACCCCATGGCGACATGAGTAAGCACCCCCCCCCCCAGTTTGTCCTGCGAGATCCAGTTTGTTCTCACAGGAACAGAGCTTTGGGTTTAAGGTCAGGGGTATGCCGCTGACACTGCGACCCAGTGTGATGGACAGATTTACAGTTTCGTACAGTCAGGCGTGTTTGCAAGAGCAAACCTTCTCCTCATCCTTCAAAGAAACCAACCCAGGCACTTGATGAGAACTCCACCTGTCGCCCCAAAACAGAAATCCCATTCTACTACTAGCCATGACACATGAGCCAGCGGCCGGACACGGCCAATCGAAACGCCTGTGACATCATAAGGAAGTTGATTAACCCCTGCTAGCCTGCTCTGCTGTGCCATAATGCTTGTTTGTGCTAATGAGGCAGCCTGACGTGTGTTCCCAGCAAGCCGCCACTAGGGGGAGCCTCACCTCTGGGATCCATAAGGCACAGCTGACGTGCACCCACTTGGTACCGCTGCGGGTGGGCTTCAGTGCCCCCCCCCTCTTGGGGCACAACAGGCATTTGGGCTGGACCCCCAGGGCGCAGGTTCGGCACAGCCAGCTCCCCCGGGGAACCTTCAGGATGCCGTAACAGGCCTGGGGGAGGGAAGAAGAGCCAGGTTTGAATCCCATGAGCCCAGCACAGAGAAAACGCCAACCCCTAAACACCGCCCCCCCCGCGACAGCTTGCCTGGTGCACGCAGACGTTGCACTTGTCACAGAAGACCATCTCGTTGCCGTCCTCGCCCTCGGGCGAGCGGCACACGTCACACACCACGTCCTCGTCGTACTCGATGCCCAGGCCCTCCTCCGCCGCGATGGCTAGCCGCATGTTCTCCTCGCACCTCCGCTCCAGCTCCACTATCACGCGCTCCATCGTCGGCTCATCCAGCTCCGGCAGGGCTGCCAAAGGAGGCGGGGCCAATTAGGCCGGCCCACTTTTGTGACAGGCCCCGCCCACTATATTCCAATGCGCCAAAAATGCTCCTCAATCATGGAGGGATTTAGTCCCTCAAAAGCCATGGAGCCAGTTAAAAGTCAGTTAACAACCATTTTAAGCCATAAATCATAAAGGTTCATTTACATATTTTTCTAGCAATGGTGAGGCCTACAAAGTGTCAGTGTTCTTCTGGAAATTGTCATATGACCAAGTTTCACTCAGGTGTGTATAAAGGGGCGGGGCTACAGTGGCAACAGCTGAAATCATTGGCTAATAAGGTTGGCCCCTCTGTAGGGCTTATGGCGCCTCTTATGCACCCCCACCTTAAAAAAAAAAATCCTTGAATTGCTTCCAGTTTCGTCCAATTAGCTGACTTTTCCTCGTTTTATTTCCTCATTTTAGTATCGCTAAACATCTGCCACAGTGTTCACCGTGGGCTCCTGTCACATGACCTGTAGGAACCCAGCAAGCTGCACAGATAACACAGGCCTCAGTCTGCGAACAAAGCAGAGACCCATCAAGCCGAACCTGGAGCCCTGAGACGCATGTGCTTTACAGGTCAGACAGGCACTGCGATCCACCGTGTTTGTATCAGGGTTTCACTGCGATCCACCGTGTTTGTATCAGGGTTTCACTGCGATCCACCGTGTTTGTATCAGGGTTTCACTGCGATCCACTGTGTTTATATAAGTGTGCGTTTGTAGGGGAAAACACCAGCGATCAGTGGGTAAGGCTTAAGTTCATCCTGCCCGCGTCAGTATTTATTCAGCAGATTACGACTATTAACACAAAAGAGATTATTTTCCTATTCAATGGCAAAATTCCTAAGTCAATATTTGAGGCAGTACTTACCGATCTTTTAATGGCAGGGAAATCAACAGTTGTCTAGGGAACACAGATTAATGAATTTTTTACTGACAAAGGGAATATTCCTATTACCATATGGAGTTGGGGGGGATCTAGAGTCAATATGGAGGAAAAACCAACCCCCTCCAAGTCAATGGTATGTCCCAGTATATACTGACTCAAGCCTAGCTCAACAAAACGGAAGGTGACAAAAGTACATTACTGGAGGGGTGTTCAATAGTGGTGAGGGATTGTAGGGAGGGGGCTCGGCTTTTAAACTGGGCCATCCAGTATGTCGCACGAGAATGAAAAGTCTCTTACCCATTTCCCTGAACTCGGAGTTGACCATTTCCAGCCAGAACACATCCAGGTCGTCCAGGTCGTACAGACTCAGGGGCTTGGCCGGGGTCGCAGCGGCCCCCTGCTCCCCCTCGGTGGTCACTATGCCCTGATTGAGCTCTGGCACCAGCCTGCATTTATGGGACACGGGCGAGAAGGCGGCGGTCAGCGTCACGCGGGTAAACGAGGCGTCTGTGCCCCGTGGTCACAGCGACCCCCCTCCACCTCTCACGCACACTCCTCCCCATCTGATAGGCCAAGGTGGGGGAGGCTGTAACCATGGCGACGTGTTAAATCACACGCCGTACCTCGTCACTCCTGGCCGGTCAGGAGATAGGAGAAATCACGGTGCCCGGGCCCAGTTTCGCTGAACAGCAGTGGCCCAGTTCTCCCCGGGTTCGACTGAGGCCGAGGGACAGGCACGACCTCTGGAAAGCGACGGCTGGCATCGACGATGCCCCCACACATCTGGCTCCACCCCTCCCACCCGTTTCAATTTTCCGCACGTCCTCTGTTCGTGCCAAGGTCCGATGCAAAATAGGTATGCAGAATTGGCATGGAGCCGGCCTATCCGGCCAGCACCTGCATGCAGGGAATCCTGGGAGACGGTAACCAAACCGCGACGGGTGTCTGTTGGGCAGCGAACAGGGGTTCTTCACGCCACAGAATGCTCCAGTTCTCCGGGGGGGGGGCGATGACTCGGGATCCCCTGGGCGTTTCAAGCAGACCGCCAGCACAAAGCAGAACCACTAGGGGCTACAAGAGAAACTAGAATAATGCAGCCTGCTGGGACACGGCGGAATGATCCGGCGGCGTTTAGGCGACACGGTGCTAAATGAGCGTTTGGTTCCGGTCCCCCCCCCAGAGTCGCCCCGCCGTTCGTTAGGTCAGGATCCTACACATTTATAGCCAGGAAAAGCGAATTCTGGCTAGATACTGAATCTTAGAATAGCAAATTATGGAGAAATAGTGCTCAAGACGGTTTGAGGGGGTGGGGGAGGCTGAAATTAGGGCAGCGGTGCTTAATCGGCACTGTCTAGGCCTAATGGGAGCGGCAGGGCTGCTTTTTATGTCTAGTGTGGGTATGTGTGTGTGTGGCGTCACACACAGTTAATTCAGCCAGAGCATTCTGACACACTGGGCCGTCAAGGATATATGTGAGTCTTTAGGCCACTCAGTGAAAACTCCCTAGATACATCCACTGACACAGACCACGCCCACTCACACCGGCCACGCCCACTCACACCGGCCACGCCCACTCACACCGGCCACGCCCACTCACATATGACCACTCCCACTAACACATGACCACACCCATTCATGCCCAGCGATTTTCAGTCACGCCAGACTCTCATACCGCCCCCCTGCAGTATGCAGGAGAGAAAACAGGCTGTCTGGACCCACAACAGAAGTTTGAATCACATGCTGTCATCGTGAGGGGGGTACATATGCATTTTGAAAAATAAAACATCCCTTACTGCAACTAAAATGCACAGCATGCCGGGCCCATGCTTTTTGGCGTTTATGACGACCTTTCCATCAACTCACCTATCAATGTGGCACAGACCGCCTTAAGTGTCTCCATGGCGACATGACCTCACGAGTCTCCTCCTAAATTACCCCAGTCAGCAGATTCCACCCATTCCGTCAGCCGACAAACAACAAACATGGAAGGGCAGGGGAATTCCACCGGAGAATTTTCCCATCCGCAGGCCTGCTGTGACCCATTCCCGCTCTTCCAAACTCCCGGGAGAGAGAGAAACTGAGCGCAAAGGTGCCACGTCCTACCAAGGGCGGAGGCCTGAGGCCCACCACCATGACAACTCCCATCCCCCAGATAAACCAGGAAAGCAAGCACCCATTTTAAATAGGAGTGGCGGGGCAATGTGTGGGTTAAGAGGCTGCATCTCTGAGCAGAAGGTTGCTGGTTCGAATCCCACGGTTGGAAGAATGATTTTGCCTTTGGGCTCTTGAGCAAGACCCCTAACTGCTCCAGGGACTGTCTGACCCTGCCCTAAAAAAAAAAACTTATGTTGCTTTGGATGCTAAATAAATAAAATGTAAATGTGAATAAAAATCACAGGTGTTCCAAGATTCCCTGAACCGATAGGGCATGTAAAACTGCCTGGCAGAATGGCTGTGCTGTGAAATTCAAAACAGACCCCCACCTAAGAAACACACCCCCGGTATTCATCACATGTGAAGGCGGTGGGGGGGGGGGGATCTGGTCCAATCAGGGTGTGAAGTCACAATCTCATGCCTGAGGAGCAAAACTTCACACCATCCAGGAAAATAAATCAGCCCCTCCGAAACAGAAAGCTGGGGAGGTTAGGGAAGGGGAGTCTCCCCGGGCTGTCGACTGGGGAGGGAAAGGGAGGGGCATGAATATAAAGACTGACCTTATCAAGGGAAACGTGAAACAAGAAATTTAGTTTATCTGTTTATCTTTATCATCCAAACATTTAAGGTTTCCTGGAGGGGGGGGGGGTTCGGGGCTGAAGCTGGTCTCAGCATGGAGGACAAGACAGGTGCAGCCCACACACACACACACACACACACACACACACACACAGAACAGACGGGATTTGAACCCCAAACCATGGAGCTGTGAGGATTTTACATCTTCACATATCGGAGAAAATAAGCTTAAATGAACGACATGGTCCATGCTGTGAGGTCACAGCACTTGCCAGATCAGGACAAATGTCTAGCAGAGAGGTGTGGAGCTATGGCACACGCACACGCATGCACACACACACGCACGCACACGCACGTGCTGCAGCTGCATCCAAAACCCCCCCCCTCTCCACTTCCAGACTTCCCGTAATTCTAGCAGCAGTGGGACATGTATAAAAACATGCCGTATACCCGAGGGGGGGGG